TTTAGATCTGCAAAAATTGAGTCCTGCTTGATGATAAATGTACTATCTTAATTAGAAAGATAAAGAATCACATTTCAAAAACCACACGTATCTATTCCTTCAACATCAACAAAGATCTTCCCACCAAGGCTCCCTCCAATATGTGGGCTTGAGTTTAGTGTTGATCAAAATCAGGAGAAACTACATGAATTGCCAAATCATCAGCGCTGAGCTCACAGGACTGTTTCAGGTGGAGCGGGGTCAGGCCCGGCAATGGCCTGAAGGAGGGTCTGGAAGGTGATTCCAAGTCAGAGCCCAAGTCCCTCCCGCTGCAGGCCAGGACAGGGGCGGTCTCCTCGGCCGGGGCTGGCCGCCCGGGGAGGCTGCCTCCGGAACACTGAGTAGGTTCCCCTCGGGCAAGAGAAGAGCGGAGTGGGGAGGGCGGGCGCCTCCGCCAGGGGACCGGCCTGGGCTCGGCGGGGACTGGCCGACCGGCCGTGGGAACCCTCATCTCACACGTCAAACCTGCCCAAGAGGCCAGGGCACGCTGCAGGAGGCCCTCCTCACGGGCACAGGGAGAAGGCCTGCAGGGCCCGCGACCGCGCACGCGACAGGTGACAACTGCGCGCGAGTAGAAGCGCGGCCTGAAGGTGCGGAGGAGAGTGCGTGCCGCCAGCGCCACCCCGTGGGCAGAAGGCAGGTTGCCCGGACCTGGGGGGAGAGGGCGGGGCACGGCCACCAGGGGGCGCGCGCACCACCTCGCACACACCACCGAGCACACACACTGCTCCGCACACACACGAAACACACCTCTCTGCACACAGAACACATACCAAACACGCCACTGCACACAGTACACACACTGCTCTACACACACACACCACTCCACACACACCAATGTACACACACCAATGTGCACACACACCACTCTACACACCACGGCACACACTACCCACACCACTCTGCACACACACGACACACCACACACACCACTGCACACATACCACTCTATACACACACACCACTCTCCACACACTCACCAATGCACACACACCAATGCATGCACATACACCAATGCCCACACACACACCACTCTGCACACACACCACGGCACACACTACACACCACTCTGCACACACACGACACACACCACTGCACACTACACACCACTGCACACACACACCACTCTGCACATACGCAACACACCACACACACATACACATACACACTACGCACATGCACGTATACATATTGCACACCAGCATACACACACCACACAAATACGCCGCACATGTACACATACCCACACACATACACACACATACGTTACACATCACATAGAATAAAGGGAAAAACCATCCCCAGAGGTTTCTGGAAATGGAGAGCAGGCACAGGTGGGAACCAGGTGAGGAGCCCCCATGTGGCTCCTCGGCTAAGGCTGGCCCGGGGAGGCCGGAGGCTAAGAGCACTCCTGTCCTGGCACAGAGGAGGGTGTGACCAAGGCAAGCCCACTGCCTGGAGCCCCCAGGGTGGGGATCAGCGTGGCGTGCCCAGGTGGGCGCCCCACTCCCGAAGCCCAGGAAGTGAGGGTGTGGGGCTCCCGCAGATGGTGTCGTGAGATGGGGGCCTTCCAGTCCCCCCGGGGGTCCCAGTCACCCCTGAGGCCTTAGAGGGAAAAGGGAGGTATTGTAGGGGGAGGGGAAGGAGACGCCCAGCGGAGGTTGGAGCTGAAGGCTGGCTGGCCTCCTGGTGGAGAGGCCCAGAGCCAAGGGACTTGAGGAGCGTGGGATGCAGAGCCGGCCCAGAACGTTGGCACTGGGCTGTGAGCCCCAGAACGACTCCAGTCTGTGGTGGCTGCACTTGGTGCGTACACAGAAGACCACAGGTGCACTCGGGCAGTGAAGGCTCCCAGCAATCCAACCTGGGCACTTTCCATAAAACACAGATGACCACAGAACTCAGCAGTCCTGTTCTTAGTCACCCAGGAAATAAAATGTCCATCCACATGAAGCTGTGTGTGTGGCAGAACTGCAGAGGGTCCCCACTGGCTCCGCCCGGCCGAGCAGGGTCAGCACCTGTGACCTGGCTGACTGACAGGTGTACCCCAGCTCTGATTTGCACGATTCTTGCAGGAATGGGGTGCTCCATCTTTCCAAGCACTTCCCGACAACTTGGAGCTGCCTGCTCTTCATGTCTGTAGCCTCATTTCCCGGGACTTGGTGGACTTTCCCCAGATGCAGGGGCTCTGAACAGCCCGGGGAACTCCACCTGTGGGCTGCAGAGTTTCTGAGGTGACTGCCTTCCCTCTGATTGCCTGCGGTGGCAGTCACCTTCAAACAGCGGCCTGTGGGCCAACAGCTCCCGATTCTGTGCCCTGGCTCGGCCGCCGGCTGGAGCTGTGTCCACAGCATAGAGCAGCTGCAGCCCAGGCGCCACTGCCCGCCACTGTCAGGACCACTGGCCTAAGCAGGCTCTGCCTTGGGCCACTGGGTCGATGGCCTGTCCCATAGCCAACTACTGCCATTAAGGCCCAGCATCTCCTCTGCGTGTCCTCATGGAAGTTCCAACTGCCCTCGCCTCCAGCTGTCACACCCAGGTAAGGGACCCAAGGACACTGCTGTGCACCTGGCTTTTGTCACTGGGGGTGACTGTCTCGGAGGCCCTTCCACCACACAGGGGAGAAGCCGCATGCGGTAGCACTATGCCACCACGTGCGTGTACAGAAGGTGATGTGACCCGCCCTCTCCCAGACACCTGGGTCACACCTAGGTCACTTTCACTCTGTCACAGTAATCACCTTGGGCATGTGCCCTGACCTAGATGTGCAGCCCTGGTAGGATAAACGCAGGGTGCCGTCTGCGAGTCAGAGTCAGAGCATTTGTGCGTCTGGTAATGTCGCCCAACTGCGCTCCCCAGGGGCTGGGCACGGGCCTGTCACTGCCGTGTCCAGTTCCTGCCAACAGCAGCTTGCTGCCCGGCTTCTGGACTTCTGACAATCTGGTGGGTGAAGAGAGGAGCCTCGGGGATTTGAGTCTGTCTCCCTCAAGTTCAAGCATCGTCCGTCTGTTCACAGGCCTTGTGCACTTTTTGTCGAGTTCTGTTTCTCTTTTTAAACCAGAATACTGTTGTTTGCGACTCTCGAGGCGTCTTTGTGTAGTAAGAACAGCTCTGTGGCGTGAGCTCCACGTCTTCCCATGCTCATGTGCCTCTGGCCGCCCCTCCATCTTCCCTGTCCTTCCTTCTCTGCCGTGAGTCTTTGGTCATGCAGACACGTCTGCATTCTAGACAGTCAATACCCATCTCTCCTCTGACCTGGGTGAAGGCCCCTCATGTCGGGGTTACTGTGGCAGACGAGGCTGCCACACCGAGCCCCCTCCCACCCCAGTGACCCCTCAGGCCAGCCTGGCTTTGCGGGTGTGCCCAGCCTTGTCCAGGATGCACCTGACCAGGAGCAGCCCAGGGCAGGACCAGGTGAGCACTCCTGCCTACCACGGCTCCTCTCCCAGGCATCGGCCCCAAGCTCCGCGTCACCAGGCAGGTGTGGTCGGCTGGAAGGCAGCCCGAGTGAGGCCGCCCTGGCCGTCCTGCTTCCCCTGCTTCATTATTGTAAGCCGTCCACTCCCTGACACCTGTCAGCTTCCGGAGAGACTAAAGGCATCACTGTGAAGAAATCCTCCTGTGTCTCCCTGTCCAGCCTTGGTTTTTAAGTCTGGTGCGTTTTGAGAGGACCTCCTCTGTACACCAGTTACGGACCTAACTTTCTTTTTCTCAATGGCTGCCAACTGCTTCACACCTTTTATTTTAAAACAGAACTCCTTCCTTACACAGCAAACCCGGACCTCGCGTCCACCTCTGGACCTGCTGCTTCACGACTGCTGGTGCCACCAGCTCTGCATGGCTAACTCGGGCCTCCCGGTCCATCGCCTCGTGTGAAAGGAGAGTGTGCCCTTGCTACACTGTTTCACTAAAAAGCCTCTGTCACGTGAAAGTCAGAGTCTAGTCTAGTCCCAGCAGAGCTTGCTGGCTTCCCAGCCAGTACACAGGAGCCAGGCAGAGGCTCACAAGTGCTAAGCAGAGCTGGTATGGACGGTCCTTAAAGCCTGACACATTGTCCGACACCTCTATTTAAAGCCGTGGAGCTATTAAATAAAATTTTTTAAAAGACCTCTCTTAAGCTCGGTGTGGTGGTGCACACCTGTAATCCTAGCAGCTCGGGAGGCTGAGGCAGGAGGATCATGGGTTCAAAGCCAGCCTCAGCAAAAGCAAGACTGCTAAGCGGCTCAGTGAGACCCTGTCTCTAAATAAAATATAAAATAGGGCTGAGGAGTGGCTCAGTGGAGTGTCCCTGAGTTCAATCCCCAGTACCAAAAAAAAAAAAAGACTCTTAAACACACCATCTTTCACACGAGGGAAGGGTAACAGTACAGCTCTGTATCAGACCCGCCCAGGGAGCTGGGGGGGCAAACCCAGCGTCCCACGTGTCCTTCACATACCTGCTCCATCCTCCTGGCTCTCCTGGAGCCCTGAAGGCGGGGAGGGGAACACCCTTACACTTTCCAGCTTTAGAGGGAGACTGACCGACTGTGGGTTTTATTTAAAAATGCCTCCTTAATGGAATCACTTTGCTTTGAAGAAACAATCCATAAGAGCTTAAGTGCAAAAAGAAAAATGTCACCAGCTCAAGTTTGTGTGCAGAAAGCTGGAAGGTGAACAGTGGGAGACGTAAACTCCTTTCTGAAACGTGCTGTTTATTTTGATCTCAGAGGGGGTACTTGGTAACAGGGAAAACCAGTTCATGGAGACACAGGGAGAGCCAGGCCCTGTGTTTTTACGTCAGGTTTTTCAATCAGCCTTTCTCCTGGGCAAGTGGCACAGAGCCCTCAAACTAAGGCCCAGGGAGACCCGGGGCACACGGGCCCCACGCTGGATCCACTGCCAGCCAGAGCCAAGCCGGGTTCTCAGCCTGGAAAAGGACGTCTTTGTCCAACAGACTCACGAGCTTTCTAAACACACCACAGGACTCAGGAAGGACATCTTTATTGGCCGTTATCTTTGGAATACAACCACCAGGCTCTGCAGGTGTGACTTAGTACATGTACTGGATTAGCAATGCTTCTAGGGTTCACAAGGTCAAGGCCAAGGTTCTGATGAAGGTAATCTGGTTATCAACTGAGTATAAAGGAAGCTATAAAATGGCTCAAAGCAATGTGGCCTCTTAGAGGAAGATCCCAGCGACTCAGACGCTCAAGGAAGGACCCCGGAGACTCGCAGGCACTGCAGAGAGACGAGGGAGGACCAGCCGGAAGCCCCACATGCCTTCTGTGCACCTGGCCAGGGACTCCAACCGCAGGGTCAGGGCGGGCACTGGGCACGGGGTCGGCTGGCCAGGCTCAAGCAGGCAGAGGCGGGTGGGCGGCGTCTCCCCAGGGGCGGTCAGTCGTCTTCCCCTCCACAGAGCAGCAGCAGGGCCTTCTTATAGTCCCCAGAAGTGTCGCCCTGAAACCCCAACGACCTCGTTAACCACCCGACTCAGAGGACGCCCAGGAAAGGGTGCCAGGGAGCATCTGGCAGCAGCTTTATTCCTATGACTGCTCAGGGTGACGTGTGACTCGCACATGGGGAATGTTGACGGAGTTTCCTACCCCCTAACCCTGTTGGACTTTCTGACCTTACACCTTAAAGGCACAGTTTCCAAAGACAAGAACATGTTCTTCTCTCTAGCAACACAGGGAACAGGGAACCTTGCCCAACTACATTGACGCCAAGCTTCCCAGAGGAGCCTGGTCTGCAGCCCTCACGCTGGCTGGAGGGCCCAACACCAAGGCAGCCGGGATGTGAGTACCAACAGTACCAACGGGTCGAGCTGCAGAGCCTGGGCAAGCTCCCGGGCTCCTGGCACAGCCTGCCGACACACGTTAGCCAAAGCTTTCTGAAATTCTGCTGTCCCCAAGAGGGAAGCGGCCAGGGAGCCGAAAAGGGAGGAATCTCACTAGAGGACACCCAGCGCCTTTCTTTCAACAGAAGGACGTGTAAACCGGGCTGCTGGCTCACCCCAGGCGCACTCGGGCTGGTTCTCTCCGGGCTGAACTTGCTCAGTCACCTGTCACCACCACCTAATCACGCTCTGAGGTTACAGCAGTCTGTGAGGGCACCCCACTCCCAGGTGGCCCCTGGGACCACCCCACCTGGGGAACACTGCAGAGCTCCCGGCTCTGGCCTACCACGGGATTCTGAGCTGCACGCAGCCCCTGTCCTGCCTGTCTGGCACAGGACGTGCTGGTCTGTCCCGGACCTGAAACCGGATCCAAAGAGCAGTTCTAGTACCTTGATCATGGAATACAGTGAGGTGGCAAAATTCTTCCGGAACTCCTTCCGAATGTTGAACAGATCGATCTCACTCCTGGACACCAAGACTCTGATGAGGGTGTGGTCATCTGTCCCGGCTCCCTTTGAAAAATAAAAAGGGCGAAAGCAGCTCTGAGCCCGAGCTGGGCACGTGGACAAAGTCAACAATTTGGTAGAACTGGGCTCCATGTTTTAGGGGAAAACTCCTAACGCCTGTCGTCTGAGACATAATCAGAGCTGGAGGACGATAAGAAAGAGGGTGGCACCGGTCAGAAGACGCAGCGTCCACTCACCTTCATGGCGTAGTAGAGGGTCTCTGCAAGGTAGGCAGGTATGCTTCGAATCGACTTCACTGGAAAACAAGCCAAGTGACGTCAGGTGCTCCCGGACTGCAACCACCCGGGCACACACTGTGCTCCCAGAGCAGCACGGACGCAGCACAGCCGGGCCCTCGTCCCTCCCCACAGGCCTTCAGAGACACGGGAACGGCACAGGAACGGGCCGGCTTTCCATGCCCCCCTGAGCACTGCTAGACAGAGCAGCCGGGGCCGCTGCCACGCCAGAACCTTCATCACCAAGACTACACAAACTACTCAGACGTGTCCTTCCCAAGACACTCGGGAGAACGGCGCAGGGCTACTTCTCCCCTCTTTGGAGCCTTGGCCTCTCTTCCTGTATCTGCCTAGCACACCGGCAGCATGCGAGTTACCCGGTTCTAGGAACACGCCACGGCTGACTAGGGAGCCGCTCGGCACAGAGCCCACTGTGGCTCTGGAGACCTGGAAACTCTAGAAATGGTCAACAGTGACCGTCCTTCAACTGTGAGTTTTGTGAACTCTCCCTTTCCCAATGCCTCTGAAAGATAGCCACTAGTAGCCATAAGTGAAAACTGTACGTGAGCTCTAATAGTGAAGGAGCCGTCCAAGTTCTCACGAACTGGACATTCAGAGGAAACTCAGTGCTCACACAGGCCACCTCTTCTCGAGAACAGGACGGCCTGACCTCAACCCTGAGGCTTGGCACCAACAGCAGACAGAGGCTCTCTGCAAACCTGTGTGGAACCAGGACCCTGGGAACCACTCCCAAGCTGGGCCCCCCCTGGCCTGGAGGGACGCGATACCACAGTCAACTGCACAAAGTCTGCACCTCAATTTTCCAGATTGTACTGAACATGTGGTTGAAATAAAACTCTAATTTTTTTAATATGAAAACCACATCCTCTATTACATTCTGGGTCTCTCTTCTAACAGATGGTGATGTCTCAGTCTGCCTCGGGGCTGTGAGCACTGTACTGAGAGAACTCTAAAATGCCACAGGTACCAGCCTCTGAGATGGTGTCCCCAGCCCTCCAGGTTCCCAGGGAACAGTGAGGTCCCCATGTGGCTTCAAACAACTCCTAACAATTTCCTCTGGATCCCGGAGCACCGGCGAGCAGGCCAGCGTCACATGAGTGGGAGACAAGACTCTGCCCTCCCGGTGCCGTGCCAGGCTCCTCTTTCCATGAACCATGCCCCACACCTTCAGATTCAGCCTCAAGCGAGCAGAACCCGTTAGCCGCTCTCGCCATGGACATTACACACTGTGAGGTCACCTACCAACGGCAAGCAGCAGCTGCTCCAGGTGTCCAGAAGTCTCCCGGTCGATGGTCTCCTCAATCTGGAACCCCGATATGGTCATGTACTTGTCAAACACTAGGAAAAACAAAAGGAGTTTTGACTCACACAACCATGGATCCTTCCAGCAATCAGAGTTCTCGCTGCGCGGCTCTTCTCCTACCCAGCGCCTTGTCTCTGAGGGAGCCTGTGCTCGGGCTCAGGTGCCAAGCCAGCAGCGACAGTTCACGGCGCTCTCTGCCCACTGACCTCCCAGCCCCCTGCCAGTCCGGACCAGAGGGACCTCAAGGAGAGTCTGCTGTGGGGACTCTGAGATGTCCTCCTCTTCCTTACAAAAAGTGACGGAAATGACTGGTTTACCCCTTTCTTTTCTTCTCGCTGTGAAAATGGTTAGTTCAGAGCTACAGCAACTGTCTCGTGACGACGAGGCAGATGGCATGAGAAGGAAACCAAGACACCGAGGACAGCGGGGTAGGAAACCAGGACGATCCCAGGTCCTGCCAAGCCCGCCTCAGAATCCACCTGCAGAACTGAAGCCACCATGTGGGCTCCGTCACCTGCTCCTGAACACATTCTCAGCTGAGAGCATAAGTCCCGGAGACAACCCAGAAGCGGGGTCTCAGATCCACCATCCTGGAGGAAACACCCGAGTGAGCCGCCACTCATGGTCTGTGACTGAGGGACGCCCCAGAGCCCGACCCTCACCACCCTCCGGAGACGGGGGCTTAAGCTCCTGGTTCCGTAAGTCACAGCAGCGGTAAAGGGAGTCAGCAGACCTGCCCAGGTGGCACAGGGTGCCTCAGAGGCCAGGGCAAGGCCACAGGGCAGCGTGTCCGCCACCCAGCCTCTTTCACTCACCCCTTCTCAAGTGCGACACACTCCGTGTTCCGAAGATGGTAATGAACTTCTCCTCGTCGGTGCCCCACTTGAGCTCTCCGGCCTGAAACAGCGCCTGCAAGCATTCCCGCCTCCGTCAGGAAGGCCCTCTGCGACCCCCAGGCCCTGAGCCACCGTGCAGCTTCCTGCAGACCACACGTGCTTGCCGCACGTCTGGCCCTGTCCATTCCTCCCGTCTCCAACTCTCAACTCGGCCTCCGGGGTTTGGAGCGCCACTGGGGCTCGCCAGGATTCACAGGTCAGGTCGAGGTGACAAAGCACAGCACCAGGCAAGACTAGGTCTGCCCAGAATGCCTTCTGTGACTTCCAATTTTGGGGGGAGGAGATTTCTGATCATCTCACTGCGGTCCATCCACTTACGTTTGGGAAATCCTAAGCAGGAGTTCCAGGATCTGGAGGATCCAGGATCTGCTCCTGTCTGACTTGGGCTACGCTGTTCAACAGGCAGCCACCGGGCTTTCTCTTTGCCACTGAGTTACCAGGCTGGCCGAGGGAGACCCCTGCTCCCCTGGGAGCCCCATGCCGTAGCCGTTCTCGGGAGGCCCACCCACGGCTGGCTCAGCGGGTCTCCTGCAGCCATCTGAGAAGACCTGGGCCTGCTTCTCAGGCCACCACTGGAAACCTTCCAGAGCGCCCACTCCTGGAGCGGGAACAGGAGACTCAGCCCGCCCCCCCCCCCCCCCCCACAAGGAATTAACGCTGGGAAAGTAAGAAGGCGCCTCAGCCCTGAACAAAGCCCCCCCAGGGGAGTGCGACTTGGAGCTCAGCTGGACGGTGGCTCCGCCCTGCAGATGGCGGAGGAGACGAGGAGGGGTCCGGCTGGGAACACTGGACTGCTGTGCAGAGCGACAAGGCCAGCTGGGCTGCCCTGCTCTTGAGTGGGGCCAGGGCCGTCCTCACCCACTGCAGGAACGGCCCCTGGCTACGTGGACGGCTCACGCACTGCTCACTTCCCTGCTGAGGGCCCACTGAGTGCTGTGAGCTGGGCAGCTCTGCGGCCCCTGAAGGGCAGGGGGGTGCTTCAGCGTGAGGGGCAGTGCAGTGGCAGAAGGCCTGCGGTGCAGTGGGCCTTCCTGTGCGGGCCACCTGACCCCTGGAGGTGACTTGGGGCTACCTGCAAAGTGCCCGTGCTGAGGGCTCAGCAGGAGAAGCAGGCCGAGGCGCAGGGAGAGCGCCGGGAGAGCCGGGGCAGGGGCGCGGACGTCCACATTAGGAACGGGCTCTACCTGGGGACAGCGGACCCAGGAGGGTCCTCGGAGCTTACGCAGGAACAGGAAGCAGGCCTGCGTCTGGCAAGGCGGGTGGGTGAGGGTCAACAGGCAGCAAACCGCCCTCGGCTCCTCCCCGCAGCCAGGCAGAGAGGGCAGCACTCACACCCCCAACACAGCTGCCCAAGAGACGGGGTGCTCTCCTCACTGCACCAGCACGTCAGGCCACAGGCCAGCGGGCCACTGTGCAAGCCCTGGAGAGGGCCCACGGCGCTGCCCGCTTCCCTGAGGACCAAGACTGCCACAGGAGGGGCAGGGGGACGCCAGGCGACTCGGGAACCCAAGCAGCCCCTCGTTCCCCACCCCCGGGCCTCGGCTCCAGGTGCAGACTTCCTGACACACAGCTCCTGCACCTGGACACCTCGTAAGCCACACGGAGACCACACAGGGTCTGAGAGTCTGCCAATGTGACATTTGGGAGCCACTAACACTTGGCTGACAGAAGAGAAGTACCGGCCAGGCGCGGCAGTGACATCTGCAGCCCAGCCACAGGAGCCCGAGGCCGGAGGGCTGCAAGTTCCAGGCCAGCTGGGCAACTGGGCGGGGCCCCGTCTCAATAAACAAGGGGTCTTGGGGTGCAGCTCAGCAGAGTGCTTGCCTAGCAAGTGTGCGGCCCCAGCACCACAGAAAAACAAAACGGAGGGACGACATTGTTTAGAATTCTTCCAAAGGACAGGCAGGAGCACTGCAGATGCTAGGTGACCCGCCACCACTCATGGGACAGGACGACACACACCTTCAGACGCGATCCTTCCTTCTTACCCCTTCCTAAGAGACCTACTGCCCCGTTACCAGTGGGGTCAATAACACTGGGTGGTTGCCGTTGTTTTTTTGCAAAATTCTTTGTTTTTTGGATGTTTCATAACAACAAAAAAGGAATGATATGTCTAGGTGGAACTCACTGTACTATTTCACTTCATGTTTGGATAAAATATTTTATTAGCCAGACCAGAATGAGAGAACTCTGCCGAGGTGAGTCTTGTGATCTGTCATGGACACCTGAACTGGATTGTCCTAGAGACCTCACAACACACCTGGTGACGCTCCCTTACCACATATTCCTTCCATGCACAGATGGGGGCAAAGTCACCACACAGCCGGCCTCACTCACCTGAGCGTCTTGTTCAACTTGAGCTTCGTCGATTCCAGCATCAGGGTCTCTGTTCGCCTATAAGACAGTACGTCCCATGACTGAATCACTCCAAAGGAAAAATGTCCCACCTGGTGGTTATGCACGTAGAGCTCTTTCTCTTAGGAATAAATGGCTTTTCAAGGTCACCTCAATCCTACAATCTATCACACAGAACTGTCCAAATCCAACCTGACCCTCCTGACCCTGCTGTGAAAGCGGAGGACACAGACTGCTCTCTGCAGCCAAAGGCTGAGGCAGCCGCTCAGAGTTGAGGCTGTGCGTTCTGAAAGGTAAACAAGCACAGGCTGCACACACCCACCAGCAGGACCAACCAGCACAGACAGCATCAGAAGAATTTCAAGTGGCTTCCCTGGATAATCAGGCCACTCCACCTTCAGACTCTCTCCCCTACGCCCAAAGTACTAGGCACTGAATCCAAGGGTACGCTCCCACCAAGCTACATCCACAGTTCTTTTGGTTTTTATCTTTGAGACAGGGTCTCGCTAAGTCGCAGAGGCTAGCCTTGAACTTGCGATTCTCCTGCCTCGGGCTCCCACGTTGTGGGGATTACAGGTGTGTCACCATGCCTGCCAACTTCAGACTTTTCACGTCAAGCTAGAGTTGGTCTCCACCCAATACCTGAAGGAGAACCACCAACATCCTCTGGTAGTACCCCGAGGTGTCCCCCACCACGTCGTCTTCCAGGCTTGAGCCGTACTCTGCAACAGAACCATTCCACACTTACTCACAGCTGCTTTCAAATAGAAAGCGATCCTGCCCCATTCATCAGAGGAAAGAGATACAAAATAAGAAATACTGTATTGATTAACAAATTCTCTCTGTCCCGTCTCTCAGTGCTGGAGACTGAAGACAAATGCTGAGTGGCTGGGAGGCATGACCACAGTCTCCCCAAGCCGTGATGCAGCCTGGGCCCCGACTCAGCCATCCAGAAGGGCTCTGGAGAGCCTCTTAAACACTTTGACCATAAGATTCAACTTCTCCTGCTTCTTCCCAATGTCCCACGTGACGGGTTTCCCATGTCTTTCACCCTCTGAGTGGCCCTTCTCTGGGCATGGCCATATTCTACCCTCCCCCCCCAATAAAATATGTTTTTCTCTGCAGCTAATAAAGTTAAGTGAGAGACAGCGATGGCATTCTGAGGTATGCCCCCTCCTGCCTCCAAGGTCAGGGAAAGGGAGAAGCAGGTCTGCGGAGTCCACAAGCACCTTTCACTCTCAAACAGCTGCTCCCAAAAGGAAAGGGGAGGAAGCAGCGAGGACTCAAATGAAGGCAGCTCTGCCACGGACACTCGCGGGCGTTCCCAAGTCCACAAATACCTGCCAGAACTACAACGCACTGAGACAGCAAAAGAAGAAGGAAAGAGGCATCACTCTAAGGTGTGAAAATATGTAATCATTACTTGAAAGCAGGCAACTTTAAAAGACTAAAACTTCTATTTTAAAAGACCCAAAAAATCATGTTTACTTCAACCAGTGATCCAAGTAGAATCTTGGCGGGAACCTCTGACTCCTTCCTCTACTGCAGCACCCACAAGTAACCAACCATCAGCCCTATCCGAGATCTCGTGCTCTGAGTGACACCCTGGACTTCCCATAACTGTGTGGCTGTTAAGTCCCAAACCCCAGCTCACCTTGGGACATGCAGCTGGAGTCAAACCCCCTTCCTCATCGGCTGTGGCACTGACTGCTGTGCAGTCCACTCAGAACCACACATGGCTCTGAACCAAGCCCGGATCCACAACCCGCCACACAAACCCCCAACCTGGCCCAACTCGCTGGCGACACAGGCCCCTCCACGATGGCATGCTCTCTCAACTGCACTCCTCTTTCCAGTGTCCACACCTCTGAGGACAGTGGCCCTGCTCCAAAAATGCCTGTTACCTACTCCAAGCCCAGTGCCCGGCTCTACGGAGAGACAGGACAAACAGAAACTGTACTGTAGAGTGTCTGAATATCTAAGGTGTGACGTTCTGGTATGTATACGGTGGGACGATCGCCACCACACAGCTTTCTCTCTTAGACAACGTCAAGTCCTTGACAGGGCTCCATTGCACAGTCGCCCCCCGCACCTCGGATCTGCAGAACTTCTCATCCTAATGAAATGCAGTGCCCTTGGCCATCGCTGCCCATCACCCTCGCGGCCCTCCCCTCCCAGCCCCGCCAGCCCCACCCAGCTCTGCGTGTTCCACACATGCGCTCCACCACGCTGTCTTCCTGCGCCTGGCTCCTTCTGCAGGTTCATCTGTGCGCTACAGGGGGCAGGCCTTCCCCGTAGAAGGCTGAAGGAAGTTCCTGTGCACACACACCCTACTTTCTTGAATCATTCCTCAGCAGCTGTCAGGCCGCCCGGCCTTGAAACTCTGAGCATCTCATTTGTACCATGAAGCCTCCCTAACATCCAATGCCAACAACCTCTCAGGTGATCTCAGTTGGAAAGGGGCTATCCTTTAACTATCACAGTGGCACTAAACCACGTCACCAGGCCTCAGGCTGCATGCTGTCACCACCATCCTCTCCCCAGAGGGACAGCTGGGTACTACATCAGGTAGAGCGGCCGGCTGATGCTCACCACCTCGGCCTCACCACCTTCTCCTCTCACTCTAGGAGAAGCAGGAGACCCTGCACTTTGGAAAGGAGACTGTTCTGCTGCCCCACATTTCACACCACTGACCTGGTGAACAGAGTCATCTCTAAGACCCAAACTGACCCAGAGGGCGCTGCACTTCCCTAGCTCAGGGCAAGAGCCTGGGAACTGTGCCGTGCATGCTGACCACCTGGTCAGGAAGGAGGTCTGCCCTGAAGGAACACAACTCTACCTTGACTTCCCTTTGCTAGATTCCCCTTACAGATGCTCCAGACAGGAACACAGACTTTCTCCCAAAAAGTGAAGGATGCTCCAAAAAAATTCAAATGCAGAGTATTGTGTCCCAGCATTGCCATTAGCTAAACAAAATACGTTTACTCAGACATTTTTACTAACCCTGATCTGGAAAGGGGGTTAGGTATCTTTTCCCAGGTTCCCGAAAGGTCTTTGAGATAACTCCACCTACACTAACATAGAACTGAATGCATTTGAAGGAAGAAAAACTATTCACATACACCCCAAAGTTAACAGGAGAGAAAGACACCCCTAGAATTCCTCTATTAGAATCCTATGCAAGCCATAAGCAGCTTTTCATGAGCTACTAAAACAGGTGAAGGTTTTGACTGAAGAAGAAAGGCAGCTGAGTGGCAGGTCCCCCTCCACTCACTCGACAGCTGTGAGCCGCCGGCCTGTGGCATCTGTGGGACAGGATGGAGAGGTGACAGTGGAGATGGGCAAGACGTCAATCCAAACACTCACCTTCTTCATACACTTGCTTTATGGCTCTGAGTTCTTCAGGTGTCCTTGAAGCAATGATTTCTGTCAGGACTTTCTCTTTTGTCCCGGCTCCCTGTTTGGAGATTTATTTTTAATAGAGAAAACATGTCAGCAGTAAGAAAAAAGAGGAAGTTATTTTGCCAGAATAGATGTTACGCAGATTGTGCACAAATATCCCCCAACACGACGTGGGCTTCTCTTTATACAAGCTCCACTAGTTACAGAGATATGAAATTTCAAGTTAATTTGCTCTCCAAAGATAATCTTATTATTTATTTTATCTTTCATTCTTTTTGTCTAGTGTAGAGCAAGGTATACTGGTGTAAAAGGTATAAAGGTATAAAAGATAATGTAAATTTGCAACTTATAATCTGATCGGCTAATTCTAGTTGAAGGTAAAACATTTTAATGGAACTGACACAGAACACATGATTGCGCGTGGAAGATAACAGGTACTTCATCTGCACCTCAAAAGTAAGCTCCTGCCCCCGAGTTCTGCTTCTCGTGCAGCCAAAGCAAGCTCGCACCCAGGGCACTGCTGCCACGGGGCAGGGACGTCCCCCAGAGGCCCTGTGCTGAAGGCTCTGCTCCCAGAGAAGCACCCGCAGCCTCCAGGAGGCGGAGCCGGAGGTCCTGGAGCACGCCCTGGGGGTCGGGCTGTGCCAGCCCCTCTCTGCCCACCCCTCTCTGCTCGGGGTGAGCGGCTTCACTGCCCACGAGCTCCCACCAGGAAATGCTGCCTCAACACAGATCAAGCACTGGAGCCTCTACAACCAGGGGCCCAACCACCCTCTCAGATGCCTGTCACGGCCACAGGAAGCTGAGTGACAGTGACCTAAACACAGTTTAGGAACTGCATCCGTGGAAACAAATTGGAAGTTGCTCTCTGTATTTTTAAAAAATAGTATTACCTGATTTTCCTTTTTCTGCTTTTAAAAATCATATTTATGCCACTAAATTAGAGATATATGCAACGATTGACTGAACTAAAGTTTTTAAAAGGCAGAATTATGTTCTTTTTATTTTTGTTTCTTTATCAAAAATCAAGTCCAAAAAGCCTCAGCTCATCCTCTGGAAAAATTTCAGCTGCACCTGACCATCTGGGGTGCTGTGTGAAAGCCCCTTCCTCAATAACCCACGACTCTGCTCACACCAAAAAAAACCCTACAGAAATGAAGAGAATCAGAATAAACCAGCTACCGACTGAATAAATCTCCACCTCCCAAGCTAAAAGTTACAAGTCCTGGGCCGAGTTACCTTCTTGCGGCTAAAGCTCAATCTCCCACTCAAGATCAATTGTAACTGAACTCCTTCCTGCCCACAGAGTCCCCAGGCGGCCACGCCATGCCCCAGGCCAGAGCCCAGCCAAGGGATGCACACACAGTTTCTGCACACCTGAGTCACAGCCAGTTCACCAGCTACTTTGTTATTCCCTAATCAAGCAATTTTTTGTTTAAAGAGTTAAAATATTTCATCCACCATCATTTTAAAACAACTCAAAATCAGAAGACAGGCATAGAAGTAAAATATAAAAATTTAAATTTGAAAAAGCCAGTTCTGGTGAGCTTACGAATGCCAACAGACGAAGGTCACCTTGTCATTCTGCCCCCACTTGTCTTCTCAGCACCTCCCAGAGCTGCCTCTTACACGAAGCCCACCCTGAAGTCAGTCAGAGACAGACAGGCGTGGGACGGGCCGGTTCGGCAGCCTCTCACCTTCAGAGCGTGCTTCAGCTCGTAGGCGTCGTACAGCCGGGAAGGCTTCATCAGAGCCACGATCAGTTTCTCAAATTTTCCAGTCAGTTCTGATTTCAGGTCATCCAGGAGATCCTACGCACAGCAGACAGGCAGAGCTTTAAGGCGATTCTTCTTAAAGGTGACCTGGGGCCTCTGCCTAGTGAATGCCGTAGGCTGCTGCCTTCAGGTAGAAGGCGGTGAGCTAGCAAACCCACAGCCTCCCACGCTGAACAGCAGGCCTCAACCCCGGAGGGAGGCCACCTATGCACCAATCTGCTTCTAGGAGATGAGTTTCTTCATTTCAAGCATTTCATTTTAAAAATGGTATTGAGAAACACAGACATCTTTATAAAAATTCCCCCAAAAAATCATCAATGTGTTTTTTAAAAGGACAGAATGTAGCCTGTCACCCTTTTCCTCGCGGTATCTGATGATAGTCTGATACACAGCAGGCTACAGCGAACGGATGCTCCTGAGGACTGAGAGACCTGCTGCAGGGCGAGTGCGGGGGCATGGCCCCCGGCAGCATCAGCAGCAGGGACCTGGACACGGTGCCCAGAACACTTCTCGAGGTGGGGAGGCAGCGCAGGGCAGACCACCTGTCCACCCCAGACACAGCGTGCGTCCCTGCCTGGCACCAGAAAAAGGGGGAAGGGGCAGGATACTTTCTCTTTTGTCTCACAGTGAAACGACAAATGTGGATTTCCAGAATAACAGACTGAAGTATGCATCCTGCGTTCTGCACCAAATCTAAAAACCTTTGCTTTACAATGTCAATCAAATAAGAGCGCTTGGCTCTACTAGTTAAAAGTCCACTTACTAAGATCACCAGGAAAGCGGCCCACACTGCACTAGAGGCCCACACCAGACAAGGGTGGTAGGGTGGCCCAGCAGGATGCGCTGAGGGAAGGCAGAGGCCGCACCGTGGCACTAACAGCCCCAGCACTGGAGCATGGGCTGCGGGAGGCAGGCAGGAGGGAGCAGGAACACAGCAGTCAGTGACAGATGGCCTTCACAGGAGACCGTCACACCACTGCCTTGCAGACTGGCACACTGTGCCCTTGACCCTGCAGGCTCAGCCAACCTCTGCTTCCAGAACCTGCAGTGGGTCGACGGGCACCACACTGCTGTGTCCCGGCTCCTGCGCGACCCAGCCCTGGCTCAGGTCCCCGGGAGGATGCAGTGCAAGCTAGCTCTGTGTCCTTGTGAATGAAGGAGCGGAGGCCTGCAGGTCGGCCTCCACAGACACCGAGGGAAGGTGCTGCACACAGACTCCTCCAAACCCAGAACTGCGCCGGCTACACCTTAGGAGGAAGGGGGCCTTACCCTGCCAAACAGAGTTTTGAAGGCCTCGGCGATCTCCTGGCGCTGCGCGTTGCTCCGAGATGTCAGCAGAGTCAGGATGCTCTCCTCGTCGGTGCCTGCGATTCAAGGTTAACGCCAGGCTGGGCTCCCTCAACCTCCCTGGGACCAGCTCCCCAGCCACTTCCCTCTCCTCCCTCAGCCTGTGAGTGTGTAAAATGTCTTGTACATTTTTCTGAATAATTTATTAAGCAAAATATTGAGGATATGTAAAATGCTGCGTATCCTACTCATTACTCCCCACTCCCAGTGTATTTTGAAGTAGACAGAAAAATACTCGTGACTTTTTAAAAAGTTGTCTGGAGATTTTTAGACAACACATAGTCACTGTAATAACAGCCATTCACAGGGTACAATGTGTGGGTGTACAGCGGACAGAGAGAGCTGGCTTCAAGTCACACGCAACCTAGAGTGGACACCCGGCAGCTGTGAGGCAGAACGGCTGCACCCCGAGGCTGTGTCCGGAGCAGCAAGGGAACCCCAGAGGGCAGGGCCAGGAGCAGGGCAGGCTCTAGGACACTGCAAAAGCGCGGCGACGGGAAAACACGAGGCTTCCAAAAGCAGCAGACCCCCCGCCCCCCGGGCTGGAGAGAACACACCAAGCCTAACAGGGGACGGTCTGAAAGGGGCTGGGAGGACATGGAAGCACTGGACCCTCGTGAGAAGGGGCCCCAGATCCAGGGATCAGCCACACAGGCAGCCCCTGAGATAGAAACACTGACGATATGTAAAACGTTCCATATCCTACACTCGCTGCTCCTGATAATGGCCAGAAGAGAGCCTGCAGCAAGGGAAGGTCCCCGGGGAAGGCCCCGCACAGAAGTGGGGTGTGAAGGGGCAGGCGCACAGCCCAGGCCTTGCCCTCTGCAGGGGGGTGGATTCTCGGCTGCTGGGTCCTGGAGTTGGGGACCCATAGCACGATTCTGTTGATTCAGCTTTTCTTCTACACATTTCAAATCTTTTCATTTTCCAGAATAAAAAGGAGGTGGGATTTACCCAGGCCTTTCATGGCCTTCCGAAGAGTTTCTGCATCAGCCCGGTCATCGAATCCAGGGAAGTCGGTCACGGTGCCTCTGAGAGCCTGAGACAGAAGCACAGTGCTGTCATCCACGTCCTGCTGACCAGCAGGGCAAGAGCGGCCGCTGCTGCCCACCAAGCTCAGCCTCTCCACAGGTTCACCACCTGGGAAGACCCGCCCCATCTGAAGCGGGAAACGGGCCACTGAGGCACGTGGCAGGACCACTTCACTCCTGAGCTCCCCTGGCCCCAGGAGCCTCATGTGAGGCTGGCTCCTTCCTCCCTGGGCTCCACCCATGCACAACACCCACCCACCCTCCTGGCTTTAAGGGCACCTTCCCAGGGCTGCTTACCCCCAATCACCAGGGGCACACAGGCCTGCCCCCGACTCAGTCCTAAGCAAGGCTCGCTCCATGTTGTCACCCTGAGCCCTGCTCCTGAGCACCTCACAGGGACTTTAAGAGAACTCAGCAAGAAAAGACATGTGGTGATCCACGTGCCAGAAGCACTTGTTAGAAGACGTTCTTTTTCAGACCTCCGGATACACATTAATTTGTCGTGTTTCTAATAATCACAATATTTCCAAAAAAGGTCACAAGATCATTAGGTCCTTTAAATCCGGAGGCTTTACAAACACTGAGCCACAGAGCTGATGTGATGATCAAGGAGTTTCCCGGCATTTACTTTTTACCAACACATGTTTTGTAATTTCCTTAAAACTCTGTTACGGGACCATCTATAACAGGGAAAAACAGCTACAAGGAGGGAGGGTGGAGAACACCTAGTCTGCTTCACAATGTTTTTTATTATTCAATTACCCACAGGAAGAAAAGTTCCCTTCTGCCAACAACACTGTGATACCAATTAAACTCAAAAGTCTGATCCTCAACACCACATAAAAATAAAATAAAGATGTTGTGTCCACCTAAAACTAAAAAATAAATATATAAAAAAAAATTTTAAAAAAGATGACAACGGACATGCACAACCAGAGAAATGAAGAGGTGTGCTCCATTTGTGTACAGTGAATCAAAATGCATTCTGCTGACATGTATAACTCATTAGAACAAAATTTTAAAAATTAAAAAAGATAACAACAGAGAGTGTCATTCCATGGGGAAGAACTTTCACAGCACCCAGCCCCAAAGGCCATCCAGGGACCCTAAACACATTTCCTGGAAAGGTGGCACTCAAGAGTCCAAGGAAGTGACCAAGGCGACCCTCGGCCACGGCATGGACAGTTCCTCTAGACCCCCTTCTCCGTCAGGCCGGTCCCCAGCCTCCTCTGCCTTCCTTTGTGCGAGGACCCCGCTAAGGCAATCTAGGCGGACTTCTGACCACCTATGTCAAGGACTGAACATCCCATGCTTTCAAAGGAAGCTACTCCTGGATGTGGCACTCAGGAGGCAGGGCGTTGAGACTAAAAACGACAGCCGTTTTTAACACTTTCCACATGCTAAGTACTACACTGATCACTAGGAAAGTCCCGGTGCCACAAGCCAGGCACAAAATGGCAGATGTGGACGTGAGAAGTGCGGCAGAGTGTGTCCGCACCGAGGCTGGAGCAGGTAATGTGAGCACATAAACAGTGACCAGAAGGACCAAAGAGAATAAACTGGAAAAAAATCCCCAAAAACGTCTGGAACGTTGCCTGTAGGTTTGCAGCCAGAATCAGAAAAGCAGAGACTGGCACGACTGTGTTTCGGGATGCACAGAAGCTCGGGAGGGGAGGAGGAGATGGCCTGCAGCTCAGAGGAGAGTGACTTCAACACACCGCAGCAAGCAGTCAGGTGCAGAGAGGCCACCAAGGGAAGGGCCTGGTGAGGAGGGGGCATAAAAGCCCCAACACACAAGCTCCTCTGTGGCCACAGCAAACCACCGGCAGGAGGACTGGCCAGCCCTGCAGATGCTGGGCCTCCTCCCGCAGCAGGGACACTGGAATGGCCTGGGCGAGATGGAGACGGGAGGGCAGCTAACCCGAACACAGACGCAGAAAGACCCAACCACATGCAGCAGCAGGGAAATGGACAGGAGACCCGCAGGGCCCAAGGCGGGGACATGGACAGGAGACCCACAGGGCCCAAGGTAGGGGACATGGACAGGAGACCCGCAGGGCCCAAGGTAGGGGACATGGACAGGAGACCTGCAGGGCCCGAGGCCAGGAAATGCACAGGAGACCTGCAGGGCCCGAGGCCAGGAAATGGACAGGAGACCTGCAGGGCCCGAGGCCAGGAAGTGGACAGGAGACCTGCAGGGCCCGAGGCCAGGAAATGGACAGGAGACCCGCAGGGCCTGAGGCAGGGGAACTCCAAGGGCAGATTCTGGCCATGCAGCTGAGCACCAGTGAGCAAGAGGCAGAGCCAGGACTTGACTCAAGTCATGGGACAGTGGCTCCTGGTCCCTAGCAACAATGCTGCACCGCCTGGAGGAGAAGCTGCCCAGGGTGATGCGCAGTCACCAGGGAACCGCGTTCCCCGAGGAAGGAAGCGGCAGGCTCCAACTCCACGGGGGTGTCCAGGGACGGGCAAGGTGGAAGGGCCCACTGGGTTCCGCAGGAGTCTGGGCGGCACAGAGCCCTGGCTGCAGGACACTGGGGAGTGAACTGACACTCTATCTCAGTGGAGCCTCATTTCGCAACAATAGTTTGTAAAAAAAAAAAAAAAAAGAGAGAGAGAGAGAGAAAGGAAAGAAGCTTTTAAAATCACACTTAAAAAAAAGAAAACTTGACGTGGTTTGTGGTTTGTAGATTACACAGAAACTGCCATCTGAGAGAGGGGGGTTTAGAACAGGGAGAGGTTACTTGCCTCAAAGAAAAAATAAAATATATCTGACCCTCGGGACTGAAGGAAATGAGGTAAAAAGGAAAAGAGAAGAAGGTCCTCAAGAATCTCAGCCATTTCTATGAAGAAATAACTAACTACCGGCCACGTTTTCTAAGAGCTTTCTAGAAATCGTGAAACACTTGTGCCTTCCACACCACAGAGTCACTGCCCCAGCCAGCGAGGCCACGCACAGTGGGAAGGAGCCAGACGTGAGTCACAGACTGAGTCACTGGGCAGACCTTGTGTGGACATCCTGTCTGCAGCCCACCACTGGGGCCCAAGACCGTCTGTAAACGTGGCTCTGGAGGACTCTGCTGGAGCCCCACCCTGCAGCGGGGCAGCTCCATCTCCAAGGAGCTCTGTCCCTGCTGCAGCCTCAGCTCACCCTCCACCCTTCATCCCACCACGGCCTCACCAGGATGACCACAAGCTCCTGGACTACAGAGGCCAGAACCCAATCCATGGTTCATCTCAGCTTCAAACCCATCCTTTCTCCCCCTCTAAAATAAAACGTCCTTTTATCCTCAAGGCCTAGGCATGCCAAAATAAAATGAAGAAAATCAACCCAAGAGCAGGGAAGGACTGTTTTCCTGACCCAGGGAAGTCACACGTAAACAACGATTTCAAGTGCTCACTGTCTGGAACTTTCTGAATAAAGCTCCCCTGAACGTACAGAAGACCTCGAGGCCCTCCTTAAGCCTGTCTCCCAGTCCTGGGCAGTGGCTGCTAACCACCCACTGGCACCCCCCATGCTGCAACGAGGAGCCAGAGATCCTGGACCAAGCGCTGGGGCTGCCGTAGGCTTCCAGGGGTCAAGGCGGCTGCTGAGGTGGTGGGAGACAGGACTGCCTCCCCTGCTGGCCAGAGCAGCTCGCGTCCCACCTGCAGACACCGCAGAGGCCCCAACGCCTCCTGTGATGGTGGGCCCCACAGGTGGGCAACATGTTCCCAGAGGCCTGCGGGAGGCAGACCAGCAGGCCCAGAGCACAGCCCCACCCATCCCTGCCCTGCTCTCTGAGAAGCTGAGGCCACGGGCAGGCAGGCCAGTCCCCAGCACACCCAGCTGACCTCCTCCCCACTTCCTCGCCCCTCATGCTCCCGCAAGCCTGCTCCTGCCTCGGCCACTCTGACCAGCTGCTTTTGACCTCTTTCAAAGTTTAGGGTCGGGGGAAAATGGATCACTGTAAAGTAAGCTATTCACACACTAGTATACAAGGGCTTGTTGATAACAAATGAAGATCAGTAAGATTTAAATCTTCATTGTGCGTGTCTTTAACCCTCTGACAGTGACAATGCCTTCCCTTGGCAAAACCTGCGAAATGGGAATGAAAACTGTGTGTCCTCAACGTCACCCTGGAACAAGGGTGGGGCCCTGAGCCTGCTGGAGTGAGGGAAGCTGCTGCCTCCCAGGAGCTCACAGCTGGGCATCCTGCAAACAGCACTTAAAAAGCCCCATAGCTGACAGTGCAGTCACGCCAGCGCTCCAGAGAACAG